ATCTATTAGATATTTAATCCTCAGTATTCTACCAACGATAACTGTCCTAGTGCTCTTACTTGATAGCCTGTGCATAATATTACAGACTTGACCTGCTTATACTCTGTACTTATAATTGTGGCCACCAACCTTCTATTCCATTCTTGTAATATTTCTAGTCTGCTCAATCTGTGCTCATTCAAGTGGTCGTCATAATAGTTTACACCCACGTAGCCAACGTCTGAAATACCAGCGTCCATTATGAAAGAAACATTTGCCTTGTTCTGAAGCAATGTTCGGGCTTCTGTTGTTCTATTATCTATTAAATTAAATTGAACTTGAGTAGCAGCAACACTGACTTCGTGTCTTCTGCCATAAGAAGTAAGAGCTCCAAATCTTGTTCCAATTTGACCTTCTTGGCTTTCGGAGTTAAATAACTAGTTTCTTGGAGATTTACTACCAAAGTGGTACAGATTCAAAAACAAAGCAAACTGTTTTCGAAACTCTTTTATTCATAATGTTATTTTAGCTGCAGAAGCAGTTTCATAGCTTTTACCTCATACTTTCTATAATCTAGATCAAATTTGTCTCATTTGCCTCATTCCATAAAATTTCAATTTGTTAAAATGGTTCCTCGAAGAAAAACTTTCACTGCTATGTTGTGCTTATTGCCTAGTATTATATTCCTTTGTGTGTTTTTCTCCTACCGCCCAACTAGTACCGAAGATCAACGATTTTCAAATCCAAGAGGAAAGACTGCAACCAAGCTGACAAAAGTTACCTTCAAACCCGTTCTCACAGCAATTGAGAAGCTAGAAGGATCCGCTTTGAAAGTGGAAGAAAAACAAGAAATACGGCTGAAAAAGTTGAACAATTTTTGTGCGCTACATCCTCACTTATCGGGAAGACAACCGGGCATGGACAGCGAGAAACTATTGCGATTTCATTTTGGAAAGCATGGGAAATTTTACAGCGTTTTACCGGAGTATAAGTTTTTCGAATGTCGTGTGGCAAAAACAGGAACGACAATGCGGTCTTTCGTATGGTGGGCGGCGTTTCATGGGGGCAAGAATATCCACGAGCACCCCTATTATCACCCAGTTGAGGATGATGACGTGAAGAAAATGGACAAGATGACCTTGCCTGAACTTCAAAAAGTCATTGCCTCATTCACGGGGTCAATTTTTGTCAGAGAGCCGATTATGAAAATTATCTCAGCCTACTTCAACAAATTTTGTGACCCATATAGAAAAGAATTAATGAAAAAGAAATTTAATATTATCAACACAATCGGAACTCCAAGTTTGGGTGAGATTTTGCGCAAATTAGCGAGCGATGAAGATTTAGGAATTTATAAAAACGACGACCACTTTACCAGCTACTTCGATTATTGCAATCCTTGTTTGTCAAACTATTCTTTCATCGGACGCTTTGAAAACTTAAAAACAGACCTGAATTACTTGATTTACAATAAAACGCAGTTGCACGATGGTCTGAGTTATAGCATAGATACAGCGCCTGTCAGTCCGAAGCGCACGGAGTGTCCTTATATGATGGACCATCCTGACGCATTCATGGATGTAAATATAAACGATGTGAAGAAACTGGTCGAGAAACTGAAGTTCGAATACGAGGCATTTGGATATGACCCCGCAGATGTGATCAAGTATATCGAAAAGAGAATTAAAATTAGTCAACAGGGCTTCTGAAATATTCGGTGTTAGCAAATCATATAACAGTAACAATTTCTGATCATCTCAATTGCATATTTGTTTTTTTTTGGTGAATTATAATTTATATTTCAAGTCTTTTAAAGAAGCAAATTTTAAATTGAACGATCTCAAGGTAGCTTCGATCAAATTGTAGCGTAGGGCGTTATGTTTTAGCTTGCCTGTCAACAAGCATGGCTGTATTTTAGCTAGGTGTTCAATGAGGCGAATCTCTACAGTATTCAGCATCAAATCGAAAAGGTGCCTATATAAGTCTTTTTGAAGTCTTACGACATAGCAATCCGAATTGCATTTTTAGGAAACGACTCTTGAAGTCATGCAGAAGTTTAATTTTGCACCGAATGTTAATGAACATAGTCTCTTTAGAGCGATTTCTTCATAGGTTGGATTTAGACCTACATTATGAGCCTCAGCATCAACCTTGAAATTTGCATTTTTTTGTTTCTTTAAATCTTCATTAAAACAAGGATAGCCGATTGCTACGCAAGTAACTCGTAATGTTCCGACCATTTTCATAGATTTTTTTCTTTTCTTCAAATTAGTTTCGCTTTTAGTGGGCGGTGTGATTCGAGAACTATAAGATGGCGTAAAAAAACAGTAAATTAGTTGTGAGCGACATCATTTGTCACCGAAAAATAAATAAAAAACATGAAACGAATTTTTTTTTAGTTTTGCACATTTTTAATTTAAAAAAAAAGATTTTTTGTTCACACAAGCGCTAAATGAAACATGCAAAACTAGTTTGTTTTCTACTTAATTAAGTTTTTACCCTGAAAGTCTACAAAACAGTAAATTTCCATATATCGAGCGTTACTCGCTCAAATTTTGACTAAAATTCAAACCAGGTTTACTCGACACTGGCACATTGTTAAAACAATTTTTAATTTTGTGTGTATCACGACTAAAAGGGCTTAAATATGATATATGACTCGGACCATTCCGATGATTATTTGTGTACCTGATTTTGCGTGGAAAATAAAAAAAAGAAAATGAAACAACCCGAATACAAAGTTCCTCCCCATTTCAAATGGTCGGAAAAAATATAATAATAAAAACTGTTTCGGCTCTTTTTCCTTGCCCTCATCTGCGAAATTTTCCAATTAATATTACGGTCACATGGTCTGAATGTTACAAAAATTAACATGCAAACCAATTTGGTCATGACAAGAATATTTGGTCTCATATCTTACCTTGTAAATTCTCTCGTAACGTCAAAAAGTTAATGCTTATGCAAGTTGGGGAAAAGGAAAAAGAGCTATTGTTTCCAAAGGAAATCGCTACCCAAGCTAATTAGAAATGAAGATTTTTTTAACAAAAACATCACTTGAAAGAGCGTCATACGACTAAATCTAGCCTACTTTCAGGCATCTCAGAGAATCAAAAATTGTTATTTTTGGACGCTTATAGTTAGGGGAAAAAATGAGATGAGATGCTAACTTGCTCACAAAAGATACGAGGAACAAAATTTTACAGTTTTGTAGTATTCGAGATTGGTTGTTCACCAATAAAAAAATGTAAAAAGTTCTGTCGAAACAAGAGGCAAATTCAAACTTGCAATAGTTTAAATACGAAACACTCTAATTATCAGGTCACTTTTAGCTTTAGTAAAGCTATCTAAAAAGCTATCTTAGTAAAGTTGTTTAGTGCCTGGTTAATAAAAATTTTACTAATTTTGTGTGCTCTCGCTACATTTTTTCTAACTTCTGTAACTAAATTTTTCATTGCATTTTTTTTAGAAATTGGCATTCACTCCGTATATGTTTTTGGCATTTTCTTCCGTATAAGTGTGTAATCATTCTTCAATAGTAAATTTTTTTTATTGTTGTGTTATTTTTGTTTGATTGATTTTTAGGTTTTTATATTTTTTGTTTTTAGGTTTTTATAAGACGTTTCAGCGACATTTCTAGGTGTTCCAATTTTTTTTATCAGTTGAAGCGTAAAAGGTACTTCCATATTCTAAATTGGCTGAACGAAAATTTTATATACCAAAAAAAGCTGTTTTCTGGTCAAAACTTTTCAATAAATAAAACAGTACACAGTACTGGCTTATTAAAAAAAAGGTTGCGATTTTTGAACGTTAGTTTTTCATCTATAAATACCGCAAGATATTTGAAAGTTCTAGTTTTCATATTTTTTTGCCATTGATTGCTGTATCTGTAGAAAACTTGGCAGCTGCTTTTTTTCACAAAAAAAGCATAATTTTTCATGTTAAATTGTAGAACCCTTTTAAAATAATAATAACACGGTGCTTCATTGCTTTTTTGTAACTTTAATTTGGGCCTTGATACATATTATACCTATAAGTATATGCCAAAAGAGCTTTCTCTTCAGCGTTGTGAGTCTGTCGCAGAAATATAGTCGTTCAAATCTTCGCAGTTATCGAGGTATTGATGGTTTTCGAAATTCTTTATTGTTAGTTAGTGCTCAAGGGTAGTATGTAAGTATGCATTATATATGCCTTACATTTACTCCCTCCATAATTCATGTTGCAGTTTGATAGATTTGTTTTCATCGGCCTAATAAGTTATAAGCGTAGAGTTAAATTCTTTCTTTCTTAATATCATTGTGAATTTTGTACGTTTTAAATATATTATTAGCATGACTAGTGTATTAGCATGACTATCTTTTTTACAATCTAACTCACTAATTAAAATGCGCATTTAGTCGCAAATTTGTGATAATCACAATCTGTAACATTGGAAGTTTCATAGCATCTGTTTTCTGCTTTGTTTATGGCTAGTGTTTGCTTAATGTTAAGCGTCCTTGGTGGAGAAGGAAGGACATGATACTCCAATTCTCAAAGCAGCTGGTTTGAATCCGACACAGCAAAAGTTTACTAATTCCAGTCTTAACTCTACTTTTTTTGTTTAACTTTAGAGAGCTGCTTTTTGTCGTTTTTTCGCTAGTGTTTGCGAAGCACAGCTTTGCCTCTGTGTTTAAATGATATTAATGTCCAAAAGTAATTAGCAAAGTGAAGACACTTTTTAAGATGTTTTTTTTTTGTCTTTAAGTTTCAAAATATTTTTTTGGTTTGACCTGTGATTTCTTTTCAAGTTCGCTTCAATTTCATTTCTGAAATGAAAGGAAATGAACGCTCTCCAATTACCAAATTGTTACTGGCGCGAAAAACTTGATCAACAGTTCGTGTAAGTTTTAAATTTTCCCATTGAAATGAATAATTTTACAGAGATTTCTCAAATGTGGCTAGTTTTTCCAAAAAATTCAAGCATATTGGATCTCAAACGGTCTAAAGTCTTAAGCTTAATGGTCGTTAAGTTTTGTCTGTTTTAGGATCGCGAGCAAAATTGCTTCTACAAGTGAAGAACTGCGATAAAAAACTACACTCGGTGCAGTTTCTGAACCCGGAGCCACCTTTCTTCATAGACAATCCCTCCTGCTCAATCAGTGCCGGTCACTATGTCAAACTGCCGGTCAGTGTGCGGGTCAGTAGCCGGAGCAACCAGAGCGAAAGAGGAGGAAAAGTAACCCCAACTGGGTCATACAGTTCAATTTTAGTCATTAAGTCAATCACAGATAGTACTTCTATGCCGGTGCAGCTGCATGCTAATGTGGTGCAGTAAGCAAGTAGATTATTAGTATTAGTAAACCTTTGTGCTATAAACCTTTGTCTAATGTTGAAAGTATGAGAGATACGGTCCCTTGAAAAAGGTATTTGGAAGAAAAGCCAAGTCATTTTCATTGTTTAATAACTCAAATAAACTGCTGTTTCTGAAGTTTATGAAATATACTAGTTGTAATCAAGTATTTATCTATATTTTAAGTGACCCAGCTATCATACTTATACTGAGTTGAAATAATGAGTTGATGTGAATTTTCATGACGATGCATACGAGTTGAGCTCTCGAGTTGATGTCGTTTCAATGTATTATGCTTTATAGAGGCAATAAGCAGCGTATTCTAGATTAGTTTCTTCAGATGGCCTTGATTTAATTTAGATCTCACATGTCATCCACCTTTGTGCCTTAAATTATGTATTTCATTTTCCATTAATTCTTTCCATGCGCCGTCAAATCATAATAAAGTAAGGAAAAACGTCAAGCTAACTTTTATCCCATCAGAGCTTGTAATTCCATAAATTGCTTCACGATGAAGTATTTCGGACGCGCTAACTTCGTTTTGTCTGGGTAACCCTGATTTTTTTTTGCAATATATTTCGATTGAATAAAAAATCAGTCTTAGCAAACACAAATCAAAATAAAAGAGATCAAGGAAAGGATTTTTGTCATCAGTTGCTGTGTGCTAGAGTATGTTTTTGAGTATGTTGTGCTCATGATGTGAGTTAAGTTCATTTTTGTTATAAGTTATCTATCTATTTTTTCAAAACCGTGTGCTTCATTTATAACTATTTAAACTATTTCATTGTTTAGCGGAATTTAATTTATAACAATGACACATATTTGCAACAATGGAGTTTTTGCTGTGAAAAGGGGCGTTTAACTATGGAAATTGGATAAAGACGAAAGTATCCTAGTAAGAAATTTTCTTAAGTGCCAGTGAACAATTTCATTTAGGCCTTGTAGTTTTATGTTTCAAAAAAAGTAGGAAGTGTTAATGAACGTAGTGAAGACACTTAATTAGGTCGGATTGATTTGGTTCAGAAATTTGCTCACGCTCAAATTAGATTTTTTTTATTTAAGACTTGATTTCTTCTTAATTTCATTTCTTACTCTGAAGTTCAATTACATTTTATCTGCTAAAATGTAGACAAAATGCGCTCTCCAGATACGAAATAGAAATGGTGCAAGAAAATCTGAAAGATTTCTAGTTTTATCCCAGTTTTATCAAGTTGGCTTTCGAAATTTGATTTCGAAAATTGATTTTTCTGTCAGTTGGCTATGTTTTCCGTTGAATGTTTTGGCTTTTTGAAGTTTTAAAAAGAGGACCTGTTTGCCCAGTTTTCTTGAATCAGGTTGATTTTTACCTAAAAAAGTCCATCTGTAAGTATTTTGAAAATTCGAAGAGCTTTCAGGTGATACACTTTTTTCTTTGCAACTCGAAGGTTTAAATTTGTCCGAAGTATATTTTTTCGGCTTCCTTCATTTTTTTTCCAATCATGTTCTTAGGTTGTTCACGCTCAATTTTGATTGTTCACCATTTGAGTTTTGATTTTCTTTGGGTGTAATTCTTCTTGAAATTTAGAGCTTTAGCTTGATGTATTTCTTCCTCGAAAAACGGAAGTTGACAACAGTTTCAAAAAACTCAATTAATTATTTTTTTTGGTTTCCTTTACTTAATTGACCTTCTTCCGAAGTTTTGATGGACATTTTTTTTCAGCCAATTTTTTTGGTTAGTTCAAAGTTAGCCAATATAACTTTTTGAGCTCTCTTTCAAGTGGCCTAAAACTAATTATTGTTTTCGCACATTTCCTGAACAGCTGTCAGTTCTATCACTCGAGGCAATGGTAAAGAATTGTCGCGCAAGGTGGATTTTTTCTAATTTAGGTACCATACCAAGCACAATCAGTCATGATTCGGATTCCAACAAGAAATTTCATAAAAATTTTTTCAACTGAGTTTCCTGATCTGAGTTTTTTTGCTATTCAGTCTCAAATGTAGCACTCAGTCTCAGATTTAGAGTCATTTTTCACGACGAGCAAAATTTAGTTTAAAAATATGATCGGCTGATTTACACAAGCCAAGCGTAGTGCATAAGCGAATATTTTTTTTCTAGCCCAAGTCGTAAATAAAAGTGGTCATTTGGTGGCACTTTTGTATTTTTCAATTTAATCATATTTAAGCTTATGTAAGTATAAACATTTTAATGGCATATGTTGCTGCGTTGTTTTTGGCAAGTGTTAGGTCCTATTTGAAAAAATCTGTATTATGAAAATTGTATGCGATTTGTTTTTCGTTTTTTTTTGCAACGGTTTTGGATTTCTTTTTCCACTTTTCGCAAATATCAATTTTTCTCAAAAACTACTGAACCGATTTTCAGAAAAAAATGGTATCAATAGAAAAGCTGGCTGATATTTTATGTGCCAGCAATTATTAACTGCACAATTCAGAGATGAAGGTTTTAATCAAAAGATTGAATTATGGGATTTACCCTTCTCAAGCGGCTGTTACCTAAATTCGGTAGAAAATAGTTATGGCCTCAAACAAGCCCATTTTTAACCTTTCGGTTAATTTTGAAAACTTTGTCTTTTTTCAAAAACTAACCGTCTTTTCAAATCGGAGATAAAAGTTTCAACCGAAAAAGAAAATCAGATATGCGAATGTTACCCGTTTTTGGGAAAGTTTTTTCTCGAAAACTAACCAGTTAAATCTGCTGTTGATAGTTCATGAAAACTAAAATGGCGCATGGATTTCTCTGCGTTATCTATTTTACCTTGTTTTTTTTCATAAAAAGAAGCCGTTATGGGCTTCGGAAAAATTCTTTTTTAAAATTTTACCTTTGTTAAGAAATTGCGTCACTATTCTCGAAAAAATCTATTTTATATTTAAATGCGGGCTTCACTATCTCGCCATGTTAAATCTTTTTCAACTTATTATTTTTGCATGTTTAAGCTATATCGTATATTGCAATAGTTAAGAATTTTTTTCGATTTACCAATTTGATTTTAGTGGTTATTTTACCGAGTTTAAATTAAGCAGCCCAATATCCAATTAGGGTTTGCGAATTTGGCCTCCAATTTTGAATGCCCGAATCATTTTAGTTAACGAGATAAGACGATTTTTGAGTTTTTTCAAAAAATTTATATTATTATTTTTTCGCAAATCTATTATCTATCTATCTATTATATATTTAAATGCGGGCTTCACTATCTCGCCATGTTTAAGCTTTTTCAACGTATTATTTTTGCATGTTTAAGCTATATCGTATATTGTAATGGTTAAGAATTTTTTTTTGATTTACCAATTTGATTTTAGTGGTTATTTTACTGAGTTTAAATTAAGCAGCCCAATATTGAATTAGGGGTTGCGAATTTGGCCTTCAGTTTGAATGCCCGAATCATTTTAGTTAACGAGATGAGACGATTTTTGAGATTTTTTCAAAAAATTTTCAGAAAACTTATATTAATTTTTTTTTTCGAAAAATCTGAAATTCTCAAATGTGTAGTTGGGTCCCGTCAGAGTACTCTCAAAGATTTCGAATCTTGCCTCCGAATGTGACTGCTCAATTCTTTGTAGTTTCCGAGTTATGGCCTTTTTTGTGATTTTTTCAAAATTTTCAGAAAACTTGTATTAATTTTTTTTGCAAAATCTGAAATTCCCAACCCATTATTTGGGTACTGTCAGAGTACTATCAAAGATTGCGAATCTTGCCTCCAAATATGACTGCTCAATTCTTTGTAGTTTTCGAGATATGGCTTTTTTTGTGATTTTTTCAAAATTTCCAGATAACTTATATTAATTTTTTTCGCAAAATCTGAAATTCCCAACCCTGTAGTTGGGTACTGTCAGATTACTATCAAGGATTGCAAATCTTGCCTCCAAATATGACTGCTCAAATCCTTGTAGTTTTCGAGATATGGTTTTTTTGTGATTTTTTTCAAAAATTTTCAGAAAATTTTTATTTTTTTCTCAAAGTTTGAACTTCCCAACCTTGTAGTTGGGTGCTGTCAGAGTACTCTAAGGAGTTAAAAATCTTGCCTCCTAATATGACTGTCCAAATCTCTGTGGTTTTCGAGATATGACGTTTTTTGTCATTTTTTAAAAAAAATCAGAAAACTTATATTATTTTTTTTCGCAAAATCTGAAATTCTGAACCCTGTAGTTGGATCCTGTCAGAGTACTCTCAAAGATTGCGAATCTTGCTTCCAAATATGAGTGCTCAAATCTGTGTAGTTTTCGAGATATGACGTTTTTTGTGATTTTTTCAAAATTTTTCAGAAAACGTAAATTATTTTTTAAAAATCTGAAATTCCCAACCCTGTAGTTAGGCCCTGTCAGAGTACTCTCAAGGATTGCGAATCTTGCCTCCAAATATGACTGCGCAATTCTGTGTAGTTTTTGAGATGTGAAGTTTTTTGTGATTCTTTCAAAATTTTCAGAAAGTTTGAATTAATTATTTTTCAAGATTTGAAATTCCCAACGCTATAGTTTGGTGTTATCAGGGTACTCTAAAAAGTTGAAAATCTTGACACATGCGACTGCTCAAGTGCTTTTAATTTCCGAGATGTGACGTTTTTTGTGATTTTTTCAAAATTTTCAGAAAACTTGTATTAATTTTTTTTTGCAAAATCTGAAATTCCCAACCCATTATTTGGGTACTGTCAGAGTACTATCAAAGATTGCGAATCTTGCCTCCAAATATGACTGCTCAATTCTTTGTAGTTTTCGAGATATGGCTTTTTTTGTGATTTTTTCAAAATTTCCAGATAACTTATATTAATTTTTTTCGCAAAATCTGAAATTCCCAACCCTGTAGTTGGGTACTGTCAGATTACTATCAAGGATTGCAAATCTTGCCTCCAAATATGACTGCTCAAATCCTTGTAGTTTTCGAGATATGGTTTTTTTGTGATTTTTTTCAAAAATTTTCAGAAAATTTTTATTTTTTTCTCAAAGTTTGAACTTCCCAACCTTGTAGTTGGGTGCTGTCAGAGTACTCTAAGGAGTTAAAAATCTTGCCTCCAAATATGACTGTCCAAATCTCTGGTTTTCGAGATATGACGTTTTTTGTCATTTTTTAAAAAAAATCAGAAAACTTATATTATTTTTTTTCGCAAAATCTGAAATTCTGAACCCTGTAGTTGGATCCTGTCAGAGTACTCTCAAAGATTGCGAATCTTGCTTCCAAATATGAGTGCTCAAATCTGTGTAGTTTTCGAGATATGACGTTTTTTGTGATTTTTTCAAAATTTTTCAGAAAACGTAAATTATTTTTTAAAAATCTGAAATTCCCAACCCTGTAGTTAGGCCCTGTCAGAGTACTCTCAAGGATTGCGAATCTTGCCTCCAAATATGACTGCGCAATTCTGTGTAGTTTTTGAGATGTGAAGTTTTTTGTGATTCTTTCAAAATTTTCAGAAAGTTTGAATTAATTATTTTTCAAGATTTGAAATTCCCAACGCTATAGTTTGGTGTTATCAGGGTACTCTAAAAAGTTGAAAATCTTGACACATGCGACTGCTCAAGTGCTTTTAATTTCCGAGATGTGACGTTTTTTGTGATTTTTTCAAA